GTATATCATTTGATGGACAAGAAATGAATAATAGTATATGAAAAGTTGTTTAATATAAATTATTTCCAAATAACCAATACGAAGTAAATTATAACTATTAAAATAACGAAAACGGTTCATCTCAAAACACAGAATTTTGAAACGGAATGTTACGCGTTGAGGCAGCCCAAATGTTCATCTTCGACACACAAGTGTCTTTGAAAGAGACAGAGAAAGAGATAGTGACACGGAAAAATACACAAATAAAGATAGAAGAGAGAGAGAGAGAGAGAGAGAGACAGAGGAAGACAGTTGTACATAGAGGTCAAATGATTAACATACAAAATGAGTTAAAAACTCTAAAAAAATAAAAAAAATGTACACACCTCTAATTTACATCATGATGCAAAATTATATCCGAAACTTGACATTCCTCATAACGAATGTTATGCATCACATTGGTATATAAAAATGGCAAACACATTGTTGCGTGTAATCGAATTTAATCAAAACTAGCTGCACCCGTGCAATCACACAAAAGGGAGAGCGTTGAAAAGTAACAACCGGAAGAATTCTACATATACACAATACGAAAACTGCAAAAATATGTTTTATATCGTTCAGTATTTTTTTCGCCAATATTAATGAAATGAGGAAGATTTACAAATTCTGAAATTAACTATTACAAATTACTATTCAATTTTAATAACAAGTTATACATGTTTCTGAACATGAAATGGAAATGATTTAAATGGATATGTTTATAATTTTTTTATTATCATTACTCATATTTATAAGTATCTTTACCTGCAAGTCGAGTTCACTAGCAGAAAAGCCTACTATCTATCGTAATTTAAAAACTTAGCAAATCACATATCAATATAATCACTGATTATTTTGTGAAGTCACAGGTCAGACGATTTCTGGGCATTGTGTTTATATACACTCAGATATCTAATATTTTTTATTTTAATAACACACTCTCAAATACACAGAAAAAAAATTCTGCATTCGATATATCGAATAAAAACTTGCAGGATATGCAATATTCAATTCGGCATAGTAAACAAATGTCGGCAAAAAATATTTGGCAAACAAATGTCAGGTCCTTGTATTAACTCTGAGGTATTTTTACAATTTAGGGTTGATACTAAGCAACGGCTTCATAAGAGCAAGCGAAAACACATCAATCTTTCATTTAAAGTAAAAATCATGATTCTAGAGTAGATAGCTCAAACACCTTTGTAAACGATATGTCTCTTTCTAAACAATAAACTCTGTCTTCAGATTTATCAAATCCGATAAATATCTTATTTATTATGAATTTTGATGAATAGAAATGATCCCGACGTGATCTGAACCCGCAACCTTCTGATCTGTAGTGAGGCGCGCTACCGTTGCGCCACGGAGTCATTGTAATGGTCTCCATCGTACTCACTGCTTGTAATATCCGTCTTAGTAAAATATTTAATAATAAAGTCGAAAAGACCCCGACGTCATTTGAACACGCAACCTTCTGATCTAGAGTCAGACGCGCTACCGTTGCGCCACAGAATCCATGGATTGGTTTCTATCGTACTCACTGCCTGTAATATCCGTATGAGTAAAATATTTAATATTGTAGTCGAATTGACCCCGAATTGATTTGAACACGCAACCTTCTGATCCGGAGTCAGACGCCCTACCGTTGCGCCACGTAGTCCATGGATTAGTCTCTATGGTACTCACTGGATGTAATTTCCGTCTGAGTAAAATATTTAATATTGTAGTCGAACTGACCCCGACGTGATTTGAACACGCAACCTTCTGATCTTAAGTCAGACGCGCTACCGTTGCGCCACGGAGTCCATGGATTGGTGTCTATCGTACTCACTGCTTGTAATATCCGTCTGAGTAAAATATTTAATATTGTATTCGAATTGACCCCGACGTGATTTGAACACGCAACCTTCTGATCTGGAGTCAGACGCGCTGCCGTTGCGCCACGGAGTCGATGGATTGGTCTCTATGGTACTCACTGGATGTAATATCCGTCTTAGTAAAATATTCAACATTGTAGTCGAAATGACCCCGACGTGATTTGAACACGCAACCTTCTGATTAGGGGTCAGACGCGCTTTTAAAATTTAGATAATGAAACGAAGATCTGAACCGTTACATTTTTTATTGACTTCTTTCTCCACTTGCTCTCTCTGCCTTGTTTCTCTCTCGCTGTTTCTCTCTTCTTGTTTCTTTTTTTCTTTGTCTTCGTCTCTCTCCCTCCCTCTCGATTTTCTTATTGTTGTAATTAATGACTGAAAAAAGTTCGTCTCCATATTTCAATTTTTTTTAAAGTTTTATGAATTTTCAATGTCTACATATTTAAAATGTAGCCTGGAGGAAGGCTTGCGTTTAAATAAATATTATCGATACAATCCAGAAGGTACTATTATAAGGCAAAGACTCTTCTGTATTTGTTTTCTATTTTCATTTGGTCTCGGTTAGCTATTCGACCTCTTCACATATTCTTGCATTTGTCCCTTTACCGCTGCCCAGAGTAGATTTTTTGACATTATTTTAATTTTTCAATTTAATAATTGAAGAACGGAATTATTATTTTAAAATTATTAAAAAACAGAAAAATCTCGTTCTAAATAACAATTTTCTTTAAAGAATTTGGAGCCGATTTTAAAAAACTGGTGTTAAGCACTACTGTAAATTTAAAATTTTAAGCTCCTCTTCACAGAAATTTTTTGAGTTTTCGAAAAACGTAATTTTAAGCCTTTTTATGCTTTAACTCACAAATACAGTAGGGTTTACACATTGCTGGAAATGTGAATAAGAATTGCGTCAGATATTTTTAAAAAAATTTACATTTGTGTAATTTTTGAAATACAAAAAACACTTTAAAACATATTAAAGCCGTTCGAAATGTTTGAAGAAAAAAATTGGAGACTTTTTGAGATAATTTCATTTATGCGTTTTCCGAAAATGCGGATCATTGAGCTAGTTTTCACAGGAAACGGTAGAGTTTTCGAGAAACTTTATCTGACATTATTTAAAGCACATGTACTCACAATTACAATAATGTGAATAAATTGCCGCTAATATAAACATTAACGACATAAGAGGGATGTAAAAAATTAAATGCTTGTCTTTTTGAAAAAAACAACAACAAAGGATTGATCAATATGGCGTTTATATCATATTATAGAATAGTACTATCCCTGCCAAAATTTTAAAGGAAAAATTTGGTACCGTTTTTGAGAAAATCTTGGTTTTGTAATTGTTTTAATTTTGTACATATTGCACGCAATATTGCGCGAAAACTACTAAAATGTTCAAATAATGTACATGACCTTAATAAAAAAACTCACTATAGAGAACTCAAATTATTCTGCTAGATAGCAGAATAGCGAGAACTGAAAAAGGAACAATACTGACTGAAAATTCGTAAATCATTTGGAATTAAATATTGTAAATTGTGATAGCGATGTTATTATGTATAATTTATGTATTATGTATGTAAGTTTATAGTACATAATAGCCATCTTTCCGTATAATAAGGTATTTCCCATAACGGGATGGTCTAAGGTAGAATAAATAATACTAAATTATATGACACGTGGTAGAAATATCCTTTTATTTTGCAAGAAGGAAAGGTTGAAAGGTTGAACACGAAGCCGAAAGTTCGAATGGCGCGATCCCACGAGCAAAATAATATCATTTTTACCAAGTGTGTGTACACAATTTTTTAGACAACGTAACTGATTTTTAATCCTTTTTATCCCTTTGTCCTTTTTGTTCCTTTGCCATTTTGTCCCTTTAACGTTTTGTTTTGTTTCCTTTGCCTCTTCGCCTATTCGCCCTTTTGTCCTTTCTGGCAATTCAGCCTCTCCTGTAAAACGAAAGTATTTTGCTTTCTTTGTTGCATTCTCAGATTCATCAGAACAATTTAATAACGTCTCACTTTTAGCACTAGTGCTAAAAATTGAACTTTTAGCACGCTGGGCATGCCCTGAAAGAGTCGGTTTCAGTAGTGACTGTATATAAAAAACCATTTTGTTGCGCACGAATTGAATGTTAGAGGTTGCTACACCAGCTTTATAACATCGAAGTGATATATGTTTAATCAATATTTTAAATCGAATCGATTATTCTTGGTCAATATCTTCCTAACATTGACGTTTTAATTTTTATAATCGATGATTGGTAACTCGCATCACAACTTTGGGGGGTGGCAAAGATATGAGTGAGCTTCTTCCAGAAACGGATTTTTGCTCAAACTGCGCAACACCAGTTTACGTAACGAACCATATGATCACAGCATGGGCACGTTTGAAAAGCCAGACCTGACAATGGCCAACATGTTGCATGTAGAGTGAGAAGTGTAGAGATACAATTTAAGGGTGGCATAATGTGACAATTTTCATAGGTGACCAACCAAACATATCAACAGGAATGTGTAATTGAAATAAAAGACGCAATATTTTCAATAAATGTTTAATATATCTGTTTCAATGACATGTAACAATGTGATAATTTTTGTATCTGGCTGCGTTTAAAATTTTCGATAATATTGTGTCGCAACAGGTGCCTGAAGCTCATTGGCTGAAGTCGGTTCCGAGAGGCAATAGCTCACCCATCTCTTTCCACCATCTTAGGCCCCCGTAGGCCGCCGCTGTCCGCCAACGACCGCCACTGGGGAATATGTCTTGAGTCAGTCACGAACAAAGGGAGGCAGCGTGTATACGGCAACTCTGCGACGCGACCGAGTGGCCCAGTGGGAAGACCACCATTTAAAACTATGTTCTGTTAGCGGCGGCACGAACGCGCTACAGCAGCGCGACTCCGCCACTCGTGGGAAGACCACCATTTAAACCAACGCTTTGCTAGTAGTGACGCCAATCGCTAGCGCTGGTGGGTGGCACTCAGGGAAGGGACTCTTAGTAGGTGTGAAGGGGGCTCACCCGTTCGAAGGCCGCCTCGCTGGCCGGGTGGCCGCGCTCTCGTGGCTTGCGGCGCAGGTTGAGGATCTCCACGCTGAGGTTGCCGCAGCCCGACGCGCCCAGCCGGAAGCCCCCGCCCACGCCGCCGCCGCCCAGGAGGCCTCCGCCCAGGCCGTGCCCGCCCACGCCGTCGGCGCGCGGGCACTCCGTCGCCCGCAGCAGCGCGTTGAAGCGCTCGCGCACCTCCCACCTGCGCAGCAACAATGCAGCAGTTGAATAGCATAACTAGTGGCCTACAGATGCAAAAGAGCTGTAGAATCGAACTACATAAAATGGATCACTCGTGCACCTCACACTTGCGCAACAACAATGCAGCAGTTGAATTACATAACTAGTGGCCTACAGATGCATAAGAGCTGTAGAATCGAACTACCTAAAATGGATCACTCGTGCACCTCACACTTGCGCAACAATAGAGCAATTGAATTAGATAACAAAGTAGTAGCCTGCTGATGCAAAAACGCTGCTGAACCAAACCACGTAACATGGTTTACGTTTGACAGCTCCCGCCTGCCAACCAACAATACAGCAATTAAATTAGATAGTAAACTAGTGGCTTGGAGCTGCAAAAACGCTGTTGAATCAAACTACAGAAAATGGTTCACTCGTGCAACAATAGAGCAATTTAATTAGATAACAAACTAGTGGCCTGCACCTGCAGAAACCCTGCTGGACCAAACCACAAAAACAGTTTGCGTTGAAACGCTCGTGCACCTCACACCAGCTCAGGAACAATGCGCCAATTTCAATATATAACATATAACAAACTAATGGCCTGCAGCTACAAAAATGCTGCGGAACAACACTACACAAAATGGTTCTCCAAAAAGTAACAGGCACAATGCTCAAGAAGAAATGCAATACTCTGGTAAAATACTGAAATATATAAAACAATCGTATTTTAACAAAAACAGCCTTCATGAATACTGCAACAACGTATTGTAGAATACTGTAAGGGTACATAGTAGCATTCTGTTCTTTACAAACTAAGAGAATCAAAAAGGGCGCTCTCTAATAACATGTAAATAGCAAATATTCATTGGTGGGCGGCCTGTTTCTTGGAGCCGTACTGTCGAATGACGTCTGATGTGACGTAAGCAGTAATGCACTCAGTATGAGAATTCAATCAGTAATAATTTTTGTCGAAAATTCGCCGTTTCCCAGCGCACGATTACAGTTCTTCCCCTTCTTTCAAAAGGTAAAAAGTAAAAATTGATTACAGGTAGAGACAGATGTAATTGTGGAAAAGTTGAACAATGAGTATAAAGCCTTCCGGAACCGTTTGGGGCAATCAACCTATTATTCGATAGGTCTCGGGCTGCAGCTGGGAAGCTGGCTATTCGTTTCCCGTTTCCTCCTAACATAGTTAAAAACTTGAAATTAATAAATATCTCAATAATATTAAAGCATCGGAGACGACACTCTAAGCTAGTAATGTAGTAACTTAATTCCAACAATGTATAACAAATGGCATGCCATTTAAAAACACTTATACCAATATTTTACTGTATTAATTAATGTGTGTGAGTATTCTATTTCAAAATTGGAAACTCGGGTTATCCTTCCACCCGAATCTACTCGCGTCATTCAAAAGACTTGCTAAACTTTTCCTAATCATTTCCTTCGAAACATTTATCAAAATTAATTACTAATGCAACTGTTCAAGCTTCTATGAGAATACTGTTAAAGTTAAAATCAATTCATGAATTTAGAATGTGGCTGGGATAATATTAAGATGTTCATTTTCCAATCTCAGTTAACCTCAGAAGTTAACTGAATCACGTAATTTATGTGCAAAATATTCGATTCAAAACCTTGAAAGACGAAAATGCCGAAGAAATATTTTTTTTTAATCAGTAAACGTTGAGTAAAGTAGTAATTTCCATGCGTATATTCGTATGCATATTGTAAAAGATGTCGCCCTCCAGCAGTAGCTTCCGTCATCACCAAACTTTTAAAGCAGCATGTTTGTTTTACACATTTATGTATCATCATAACACCGCACGTACTCCGGTTGAGAATTCTCTACATCTCTCTGCATTTCTTCGTGTCCTTGAGCAGTGGCATACCACGAGGAGTGTCAAGTACTAAGGAAGTATTGTCTTTGGTTTTGAATTTATTGTATGCTTTTTGTGCATCGAGAGTCATCGGTTGACCTTGCTAATAATAGTGTTGTTGTTGTTATTATTATTATTATTATTATTATTATTATTATTATTATTCATCTACCTCTGTACAAGATTATGTGAGACGGTATAATATCAAATCTATTTCGGATTGTAACCAAATTCCTAAGGAGCAGATATAGCGTCTGATGTTACAGTACTTCGCAAAATATGTGAGATGTTCACAATAAAGCAATGTTTTCGTTATATTTATTATTCCTGTTTTTTTACAGATTGAAACTATTAACGTGATTTTATCAGCAAAATAATATTATTGTCACTTGATTGCATATAAAAATGTTTGATCAATAAATTTTAAAGTGATTCTATCCATACGAATGAAGGCTGTGATCGTCAATATTTTTGCAGGAAGTTTTGTTATATTGTTGAACATTCCCAACAGTCGTTAAAGAAGCTAGTCTTATACAATGATCTTAATTTCTTGGAGAAGAAGAAAACACACGTTCTTTGCAATAATTCAGGAAAGCAGTTCTGAAACATTATGCGACATTATTTGCCTTGAACAATAGAATAACCATTTTTCTACAGTTATGAAAATTGCGAAATCGTCGTTATAAACGATGATAGCTCGTTACGTTAGCTATTCATTTCTTGTGCGCTATGACGTCAACTGCATGACACCTGCTAAGCGAGGATAAGAATGCAAACGAGTTTTTCGCGGTAGTGCTCGAGTTAACAAAGCTTACGAAAGAACGTGAATGAAACCACCGATAATAGACGCATGACAGCTAACGACCGACCGACATATGTGCGCATGAATCAGTCACACACTCAATTGAAAAACAACGGAAACAAGAGGATAAGTGGCATACCAAACCTTTTCCTTGTCTTATTCTTGTTAAATGTGTAATTAGGTTCTAATTAACTGCTTTAAAAGTCACACAAATGCCGCTAATATAAGACGGTATTTATGAACCGTGTATAGCAAGACTCTGTAGCACCCGTGTTCATGTCATCCCAATACCAAACCAAACCCGAGCACACCCCCACGTGAACGTAAACTAGTTCAGGTAAAACCGAATTAACTTACGTTTCTTCTCACTTTTCATTTAAACATAGCATTTATTTCTCCATTAACTGTCCCCATGTACGCCTCGTGGAACAGGAAAATGAGGGGAGGGGTCAGGGAGATAGGAAGAGCGAAATAATGCCTTACCTTAAGAGTAACGCGATTGTCCCAGTTCCGTACTTTAGGCTAAACTAGCCACATATTACGATTTTTGTACTATTTTTTTGAATCAGACTGGGAGTATCTCCACGACACCTGCTTCAATCTAAGTGGTAATACAACCCCACACATAATTACATGACATCGATTTCTTAAAATCAAAATAATTGTATTGTAAATTATGGACACCTAGTATGGTAGCTGGTATGGGTAAATCTCTTTCCAAACTGTTTGGAACGCAGCGCACTTTGTCTTGAAGAAAGTTGAATAATCCACCTTATGAGTAATATTGACCTTTTTGATGTACTGATGGCCAATAATGTTCTTAGTAAGAATTAATTTCTATGAATCGCTTTCAACAGCATTCGTTGCCATGACAATAATTCAGGAAAGATATTTCATTTTTAACCCTTAACTAGCCATGGATTTTTAAGGGCGAAAAAATCCTTTCTTGGGAAGGGAAGTAAAGCCGGCTGTCCCATGTTAGTAGATTTGCTTGCATGTAAAAGATCCTCAAGCCTAAATGACGCCTCTGAGCTAAATTCCAACCGCCTGTTTCTCGCCCAGAAATACCTTCTTTCTCTGCTAGTTGGTGAAAGGAGCGTAACGAAATGCGTGGTCGGACGGCAGAGCAGGCCTCATAGCCTGAGTCTCGCCACGTAAAATATGGCATTAATTCAATTCAATTCAATTCAACCCATGGCCGCGAGGTCGGGACTCTAATGTCTGGCTCCAGCCCGCGGGCAGTCACGCGAAGTGCACACAAAAACTACTGCCGTCGGGAAAATTTGACCCGAAAGCATTTTCTCTTTTTATTTTTCGAAAACACTGCGAACTACCGATGATGCGGGTTCCATTTAATCTCTTCTGATAACGTTCCTTTTCAGAGCGTGCAATGAAAGATACCATTGACAAATCATACCGTGTACCACTCTGATTCGATCTATAGTACACCATCGCCCTGGTTTGCTCTGCCCTGCCCTGCGTTGCATTGCTCCAACCCACCCTGCTTCGTCCCACCCGCCCAGTGCCACGTGGCACTTCCTCACGTGCCCTGCCTCAACCAAACACACCCCTGCCTGCCCTGCCCAGTCTCGTTCGCAATCGCCTTTACCGCCACCTTCGTTGTTTCGGGCAGCTGAAAGCAGACGTGTTATTGCATACTCACTGCAATCGTCCAGTAACAATTTTTATCCGCATGTACTCAAATCTTAATGGCACTATTGGAATGAATCAATAGGCATTTGGTAGAAAATAGTAGGCTTTCGTAAACACGCAAATAATTTCAGTGTATCTCTTCATGTTTTCGTCGTTCTCTCACGTATAACTAATGTTTCTAAATTTCCTTGCCGTTCCTTGATAAAAGTCACTTTTGTAATGATCAAAATAAGTATATATCATTATAATCGCCTGGCATTATTACGCTAGTCATGTAAACTGGGTAAATGTAGGTTGTTAACATTAGAAGTAAATAACTTTGTATTTATAATCAAAACCTAAACAAATTTTGTAGATATTAAACACACTTCTTTTCTTATCAGATGTTAAGAATGAATTCTCTTTAATTTATCATTTCAATCAGAAATAGTAGGTGAAGCGTAATTTTCTTTGACGTACGTCTGCATCTCGTGTGCTACTGATGTTATCTTGCATTCTCAGGAGAGAGTGACTTCCAATGAACGAGTTGAGATAACGATAACAACAGCGTCTTCAGAGCAGGGGTTTCCAAAGTTTTCGAGAGAAGGGCAATATTAGTAATTCTCAAAACTCTAAAAGTGCGTAGGATTTCACGGGTTATTAAATTAATTAATGTGATTGTTTTGTGGTTCCTAGCGT